CACAGTAACATGTGACACGTTCAGTGATTTAAGCCTGATTCCTTAGAGCTGATTTAGGGCTTGTAAATGTCTGTGGGTCCATAGCCATGCCATAAACAAAGGGCTTTGTGAGGAATTAGTACATTTCTTTTGTATGGCTACATAACATAAAGGTGGTATTCTTATGTGCCTGTTACTTGTCTCCTACTCATAGCAGTCCCAGTTACAGCAGCAGGAAATCCTGCTTAATTCCGGGCTACCTTCAAGATCTCTGTTGTGTTTAAGACCATTACTACAGTGACTATGTTAATCAATCTCATTAAGCGTCTTTGTCTCTTTCCTTAACCCTCTGACTTGCCAAGTATGGCACCCATCTCCCAGGGCTGTTGCTTCCAGATAAAATGCCTTAAGTGTGAGGGACAAAGTCTCACCATCCTTGCTTCTATGAAGCACTCTGCTTGCAGTTCTTCCAAACAGTCCATGATACATCCAATATTCTTTGCCATCAGTAAGTTAATATATTACAAACTTATCTCCTAGTTTCCATCCAAGTCTGGACAGGCTTGGCTGTGTTCAGTATTTATCTGGAGACTCTCAGCAAGAAGATACTTTCAGATTTATACAAGTTGTTGAACTCATACCCTTATAGTTGTAGAAGGGAGATTTTTATTTTCTTGCTGTCTGTCAGTCACTATCTACTTCCTACTCATTCTGCCTATATGCCTTTTCATTGTCAAAGTCTTGACTTTTTCTCAAACAGAATATTTTTTAATTTCCTTTTCTGGCACACAGGAGAGGGGTCACCATTTTTTTGGGGGGGGTGATTAGTCTAAATCTACTTGTATAATCCAGAATATTCTTTTTGTTTTAAAGAAGATGGATGCCGCACATGATAATGTAATTACTGACATAATAAAAGTTCTAAGAATTAGGTCAAAACACCTTTAGGATGTCTTTTAGGTCTTTTCAGACCTTTTAAGATGTTTATTTAGCTGACCACAGCCAGCTTTATATGGCAGTAGTTAAACTTCTTTGTAAAATTTATTTTATTGTGCAAGATTGAATACTATTTAGAGACTTCAGAAGTTTCTTTTGTAGTATGGAGATGAATGGGGTAGGGGGAAAGGTGGATGAGTGAAAAGAAGATAGGATATTGATGAAAGCAAAAATCAAGTTTCTACTAAAACAGCAAAATAAACTATATACTGTCACAATTGCAGATTTGAAACAGTATATATACATATATAAGTAGAGGATTCTATGCCTTACTTAAATAAAATCGAGTGGCTTTTGTTCTCATGGAGCCAGAGAATAACCATTTAAGACGTTGTTGTTGTTGTTGTTGTTGTTGTTGTTGTTGTTGTTGTTGTTGTGGGTCTTCCAGTAGGAACCGACCCATAGCTGACCCTCTAGTGGGTTTTTCAGAGGCAGTTAATCGCATGAAAGGAGACTGTCCATTCTTCTCCTGAGAAGCGGCTGGTAGTTTTGAACAGCTTCTTACCACCACACCACCAGAACTTCTTATTTAAGACATTGGTGGCTTTTTATTTATGACTAATCTGCTTGATAATACTTTCCCAATACATTGCAAAATTTCATTAGTTATATTTGAGCCAAAGTCTGAAGAGATTTGTAGATTTTCAGTTCCTTTTTTTCTTGGGTCCTCACTAATACATAACAAGTAGGATAGAGTTGGCTTAAAGTACATCTTGAAAATAAGGTGTTCTTCTGGCCTAGGGGGCAAGAAGCTGTGCTGTCAGCCTGAAGAAATGTGGTTGAATCCACCAGGTGCTTCCCAGAAGATGGCCAATCTCCTTCCATGCAATTTACTGCCTCTGAAAGCCTGCTCAGAGTTACCATGAGTTTGTTCCATCTCAACAGCACACAACAACAACAACATGACTTATTTAAGCAACATAAGAATCATAATCTACGTGTCATCTACTTATTGCCATCCAGCAGATTCCCATTCAGATTGAGCCTGCAGTAAACCTGAGGACAGAATAGATGCTCCCCATAGGGTTCCCAGGTTGTGAATCTTTGTAGAAGCAGACATTGATTTAATACAATAGTACAGAATTGCCATTAGGATTGGAAGGGCACGTAGACAAAGAAAGGACAATCAAGTTCAAAAAAATGCAGACTGAGCTGCACAGAGTTAATAAAAATGGGAGCATTTTAATGGACTTTTCTGGTTTTCAATACTTTTAACCTATACAAGTTATAGTATTTTCCCCCCTTCCATTTCACTTTTTTTATGGGGCCCTAGTGATGCAGTTGTGATGCTAAACATTGATATGTCAAATGTGATAATGGTTATCCATGGGGGCAGTGTTTAATGGAGATTTCCAATTAAAACAAGCTTGGAAGCAGGAGTGGCATCCACTTCCAAAATAGTCTGCCTCCAGAAACTCTATGAACATGGAGAAATGACCAAAGTTATACAAGTATTGAGGTCTTTCATTCATAGGGTCACCATGAGTCGTCTACAACTTGATGGCACTTCACAACAACAACAACAACAAATTGATGCAGTTGCTGCCACTTATTTGCACTAAACCCAGGAGCTCTAAGCAAGGTCTGGCAAAAGTCAGAGGGCTAGGGCTTGTGTTGAAGGGTCAGGGCCCTGGGATATTATGAGCAAAATCTTGAATTTTCTAGAAAGTATCAAAAGAAGAGGCATGGAGTACAAAGAGTCACTGAACCAAGAAAAAAAAAATGGCTAACACTGAAATATTTCAGGAGGTACCTATGGGAAGCCAATACTAAATATTTGTAATAAATGGAATGCTATCAGGATGTGGTGAAGGTGAGGTACAAGCTAGAGTTCACCCTGAGGCACTGAGGCAATCCTTAAGGGTTTACCCTATTCTTGCATTTGCTGACCCCTCCCTCCTGAGTCAAGGAGAAGGTTTTCAATAGAAAGAGCTTGGCTTCATTTGCATTGAATTCTCTGTGATTTGCTTCCTGATAATTTTCAATAAAGATACAGGGAAGCTCAGATCCAAGCTTCATTTGAGAACTGCTGGCCTTCTGTTGTTACTCTCTGCTTTATCTCATTCCTGGCTGTCTGTCTCATTATTAATAATTATAAAAATACTTTACCCTTGATCTGCAACAGGTACTATATGATTAAAAGCCAATGGTAATAAAAATAATTCATGCTGCACTTAGGGCATTGGCAAAAAATAAGGCCCCACAAATAGCTGGTTTAACAAGTCACATGATTCAAATGACATGTGCAGCCCTGAACATGCTTACCAGTGTATGCTAGGAAATTTCGAGAACAACTACCTGGCTAACTGATTGGAAGAGATCAATATTCATTTTTATTCCCAAGAAAGGCAATCCAACAGGATGTGGAAACTATTGAACGATATCATTAATATCAAATAAGAGCAAGATACTGCTGAAAATAACTGAAAAACAGATAGAGCTGAAGAGACAGACAACTTCAGATGTTCAAACTGGATTTAGAAAAGACTGTGGCACCAGGGATATCATTGCTGATGTCAGATGGATCCTGGTTGAAAGCAAAGAATAGCAGAAGATATTTGTGATTTATTCATTATGCAAAGGCATTTGAATGTGTAGATCATAACAAATTATGGCTAACATTGAAAAGAATTGGAATCCAGAACATTTGATTGTGCTTCTATGCAACCCACATTCAAAGAGGTGATTGTATGAACAGAGCAAAGGGAAACTGCGTGGTGTGTGTCACTGTTGAATCCTTTCTTTATACCAATCCAATCTGTATGCTGAGCAAATTCTTTGAGAACTAGTTTCTGTGAAGGATTGGAGGAAGACTCATTAATAATCTTCGTTATGTGGGTGACACAACTTTGTTTGCTGAAAGTGAAGAAGACTTGAAGCACTTACCCCAGAAAGTCAAACACTACAGCCTTCCATACGGATTGCATCTCAACATAAAGAAAACAAAAATCCTCACCTCTGGAATAATAGACAACATTGTGATAGATGGACAAAATATTGAAATTGTGAACTACTTCATCTAACTTAGAATCATAATTGATAAAGGTAGTCCCAGCAATCAGGAGATGTACTGTGACAGTGTGCTGTCAGGGACTCCTCCAAACTACTGAGAAGCAAACTCCTCCGTTTGAAATAAAAACTTCCTCAACCCTGTACCAACCTCACAATCTCTGTTCAGATGATATTCTGATTAAATATTTTGGTAAGTGTTTTGTTTGTTATTCTGATAGATGCTATTTTGTTTCTTAAGATCTTAAGATCTTTCCCAGACTCTAGTCTTTCTTCTTTTTGTAATACTAAATTCATATACATTGTATTTCATTCAAGTATATTGTGCGTCATTCAGGTACATTGTGCTTTAGGAACTCTGCAGGCCTAACAGTAAGAAACTGTGATCCCAAAGTTCAAGTCCATCAGCTGCTCCTTGAGAGAAAGAGACATCTCCTCCCGTGTAATTAACTGCCTCTGAAAACCCACTGGAATGTCAGCTGTGGGTCAGTTCCAACTTAATGGTTCATAACAACAACATTGTGTTTCACACACTTTTTCCATTCACATTTAAAATTCATTCCTAAAGAAACTAAATGAATGAATGATCAAGTTGGTTTACAAAAATGTCTTCTATATGGCAAGAAGCTGTGCTGCAATCCCAAAAGCATGCGGTTCGAGGCCACCAGCTGCTGCATAGGAGAAGGATAGGCACTCTCCCGTGTAACTAACTCCCTCTGAAAACCTGCCAGAACACCAGCTATGAGTCTGTTCTAACTCTACGGCACATACAACAGCAATATAGTTTTCATCCAAAGGCTCAATATATGACTTATCCAACATCCTGTGAAATAGAATAATTATGAAGAATGTGAATTTTGATCAAGAGTTTTAAAAATAATTTAAATCTGTGCAATGACTTAAATTTTGATCCTGAAGAAATAAAGCAATTTTGTGATTCAATCTAAGTAGATTGGCAATTATAATATTGGTGCAAGGAATCTGGCCTCATTTAAGTGTTTATGATTAATACTTACCCATAGCCAAGTATTCCCTTTGGCTTAGTTACCATCAAGGTCCCAAGAGTAATATTCAGGACATCCTCTAGCACTCCAGTTTGTTGAGCAATAATAATCTGATGAGCCAAATCCTGTAATTTGACACTTGATAGGGCTGGAAATAATTCAGTGTTCTTTACTGTGGGCAAATCACCAATTTCAATGACCAGCACTTTTGAAATGGTCTCTACAGTAGTTGGTGGTAGTGCACTTTCAGAGCTCATCTCTATCATGAGAGGTCTACGTTGACCAACTCTTCTGTAACGAGGAGAACAAGCCACATTTGGGCAATTGCGTCGTCTTTTTGCCTTGTTGTCAGCAATGGCCCCAATGGTTCCTTCATTACCAGACATCTCATGAATAATTCTGATTTGCTCTTGGCCAACTTTTAAGAAGCCAGTTAGTCTTTGAAGAATCACTGTGTCCCAGCCTTTTTTGAAGACTGGAACTATTACAGTGAAAGCCAAATGCATGGAAACACCTGAACGTATTTCAATAAGTTCCTTTCCTTGAATAACAATATACAAGAGGTTATCCATGATGTTGAAGAGGTTGGTACCACTAGACTTATCTAAGAGTGAAGAAGCTGATTGAAGCAGAGTAGGTGGAATGAAACTATCTCTTATGAAAACATGAGGTCTCTGGAGCTCATGGTAGAATATAGCTAGCAGAAGCTTGGAGGTACTTTCCTCTCCCAAAAGAAAAAATCTCAAGACTTGAGGTGTCTGTCCCACAAAACAGACTTTGGTGATTTGCCTTGTGGGTAAAACAGAATAGAAAGTAGATACCCATCCTGATGTGGAACAGATACTATGAGCATTCCCACTACTGAAGGTATCCACAAAGCCACCAGTCACAGATACAAGTGGATATAACTTATTCATCACCCAGCCGGTATCCGTACTGTCCAGAATGAGCACCACATGGTCAGTCTGTTTGCAGATAAAGCCTTGCATAAGCGATCGGTAGGTGCATTTCTGTTCTTCTCTAAAGGTACCTACAAAATAAAGGAAAAGGACAATTTTAATACTAGCTACAATTTCCCCAAGATAATTTATAACCAGCCACTCTAGGCATCACTTCATAAACTATGCATCGGACACCTAAAATAGGCTAGATACTGGAAAGATAAAGAGGCTATAACCTGTGTTCTTAAAATACATAAAGTTTATACTTACGTATTGAAGATGGCCTAAAACGGATAGTACAGAGTAGAACTCCACGGAGCTTCTGTGGCTGGAACCTTTACAGAAGCAGATTTCCATATCTTTCCCTTGCAGAGTTATTGGTGAATTTGAATGGTCAGATTTTACAGCCATTTTAAATATATTTTGAATGTATGTGTTATATAAAACATGTTACTTATAAGTTAATAATATGCATAGGAGCTAATTGTGAAAACAGTTGATTGTGTAAAAGAAATAAGAAAAAAACAACGGCAATGAGATCCAGTTACTGGTGGGAAGCATGTATTGAAGAAGATCAAAGACTATAGCCTTAAATATGGATTATATCTCACCACCAAGAAAACAAAAATTGTCACCACTGGACCAATTGGCAACTTTATGATGGATGAAGAAAAAAAATTGAGGTTGTTGAAGATTTAATTTGACTTCAATCCACAATCAGCATCCACAGTAGCAGCACTCAAGAAACCAAAGAGTATGTTGTGTTTGGAAAATGTGCTCTAAAGCTCTCCAAAGTCTTAAAGAGTGGGGATGGTAGTTTACAGTCTAAGGTGTGCCTTATCCAAGTCATGGTATTTTCAATATACATCTGAATCTTGGACACTGAATAAGGAAAACAGAAGAATTCATCCCTTTGAAGAGTATTGTTTTGAAAATACTGAATAGTTCATGAACTTCGAAAGGAACAAACAAATCTCTCTTAGAGGAAGAACAACCAAGCTGCTCCTTAGAGGCAAGAATAGTGAGACTTCATTTAACACTTTGAACATGAAATCACTTGGGGAAAGACATTGGCAACAGACATCATCCTGGAAAAAGAGGAAGGGTCAGAGAAAGAGAAGAGGATCCGACAACAAGACAGTTCGACATAGTGACTGCATCAATGGGTTCAAGTGGGGTGGAAATTGTGACGAGGATGCTTCAGGACAGGGCAAGGCTCCAATCTGTTGCTCTAATGGTGGTTATGAATCACAGTTGACTCAACGGCACATAACAGTAACAACATCTTAACAATAACAAAAGATCTATAATAGATAACCTCGACCAGAGAGTTTACAAAAGTATATGACACAAGCCTGCTTACTGAAACTGAGGAGGACCTGAATCGCTTGATACAGAAGATTAAGGACTGTAGCCTTCAATATGTATTGAAGCTCAATATCAAGAAAACAAATATTCTTACCACTGGGTCAACTGGTAGCATCATGATAGATGATGAAGAGATTGAGAGTGTTCACAGATTCATTTGCTTGGCTCTACAATCAACACTTGGCATGAGCAGCCAGGAAATTAAAAGACATATTTCATAGGGAAAGTCTGCTGTCAGGGACAAAATACTGAAGAGCAACAATGTCAGGCTGGAGACTAAGGGGCACCTGATACAGGCCATGGTCTTTGCAATCACTTGCTATGCATCAGAAAGCTGGACAATGACAAGGGATGATAGAAGGAGAATTGATGCCTTTGAGCTGTGGTATTGAAGAAGGGTGTTGAATATACCATGGACTGCTGAGAGAATGAATAGGTTCATCCTGGAGAGGGTTAAACCAGGCTGCTCCTTGGAGGCAAGGACTCTGAAGCTTCCTCTGACATGATGCAAGGAGGACCAGTCCATGGAGAGGGTTGTCATGCTTGGGAGGGTGTAGGGACAGTGCACGAGAGGAAGACCCTGGATCAGATGGATTGATTGATTCAGTGACTGGGGTTGTGGGGTAGGTTTGTCAGAGACATAAGATTGGCACAGGATAGAGCTAGGTTTAAGGCTGTTGTACATAGGGTTATGAATTACAGGTGACTCAACAGCACATGACAACAACAAAAACTACAACACATATTAAAATTGAAGAGATATGGTGTGGCCAAATTATAAAGGATTCAGAATGCTAGACTACATAATTTTCTTAACACTTTTTACTTTTTCCAATACATGCTACTGTTGGTCAGTGAAACCAGTTGCAAAGGACTCATAATTGACCTTCCAGTGGGTTTTCAGAAGCTGTAAATGGCACAAAAGGAGACTGCCCATCTTTCACCTTTCAAGCAGCTGTTGGATATGAACGACTTGCCTTTCAATTGGAAGTACAACTTCCGACATAAAAAGTTTCTTCCTATGAAGTGTTAAAAACATGCAGAAAGGTGAGGAAAATTATTTTGGGAGTTGTGGACAACAGGCAAAGGCATGAGTTGAGAATGATGGGCACAGAAAGACTCTATATAAAAAAAGCATTATCCCTTGACTCATTATTGCTATCTATTCCTAATCCTTTCTGACACTCTTAAATATCTTGTTCTGAATCCATACAAGTACTTTATCATTCAGCAAGCACAGAATTTCTTTATTTCAAATTTATATTGTTTTTTCTATACATTGTAAATTTACCTTTGTGCAAGTCCATCAGAATAGCAAATTCATAAAAATTTGGGACAGGAAACTTTCGTCACTGTTGATTATAAGACATATTACATTCAGGATATTCTAACTCCTTTTATATTCCTCTCTCCAAATGATAGAATAAAAAATATATGTCAAAACTGCTATATATTAATGAATTCATGAATTATTATTACCACATAGATATAGGATAATGGGGGGGTTTTAGCATCACCATTTCCATCAACGAAATAACATATACAATCAAGCTCACATTCACTTGCTTCTATACTATATTCTTCATCATAAGAGCATCCTAGATACAATAATGCACGTATCAATGCAAATCCTAGTAATGCTTTAAAACCTAAAAGTACTTTGACTAAATAGCTTTTTATAGCATTTAGTTAACCACATCATTCTGCTCATTGCTTTCAGAAGACATTAAATATTTCTTTATAGTTCCAAAGGACCCATTTCACATGCTATCATTTGAGCTCAATTCACCTGCACAAGCCAATTTCATTGTGTGTTCCATACAAATTTTAAGTTGCAAGTCAACTGGACTATGTTCTGCTTCCCAAATGAGTCAATGTTTTCCTTCTCATACTTTGCTCATGATATTCTTTACACCATCTCAAAAGTACATATTCTATTAAAAAGTACATGGCAGCTCTCGTATTATCTTAACCTTTATCTTGTAATTACAGGATTTATCTATTTTCACCTTCTAGCCATATTTCTCATTGTCTGTATTTTATTAATAAAAGGGGATCACATTATTTATTATCTGAAACTTGAGGGAATAAAAAAGTACTTTTAATAACTATAACCAGGGCAATAGATCTACAGGATTTGTTGTGCCTAGGTATCTGCCCTACACCAATTTCTTTGCTTTCTTTTAGTAAATGTGCACTAGGAGAAAAGCAACGACTTAGTAACATCAAAAAATACAGATTTTCAAGAAGGAATAAGGACATCAAAAAAACAGTAAATAGCTGAGTAAATAATATTTACTTTCATTTTCTTCTTTAAAATGAAAGGACTTTTGAAAGAAGCAAGCATTCATTATATCATGGAGTAATGTATATATTGCAACTATGGCAGGAAGAGATGGGATTTATGACTCCAAATTACTGAGGAGTAATGATGTATATTTGAAGTCTAAGGTATATTTGACTCAGGCCTTGGTATTTTCAATCACATGCTGTGCATCTGAGAGTCGGACAATGAATAAGGATGCCAAAGGAAGCACTGATGGCTTTGAACTCTAATGTTGGAGAAGAATACTGAGTATCCTACAGACTGCCAAAAAAAACCCAAACAGATATGTCTGGGAGAAAATGCAGCCAGAGTGCTCTTTGAATATAAAGATGAAAAAGCTTCACCTCATATACTTTGGGCATGTTGATAGGAGAGGCTATTTCTTGGAGAGGGGCATTGTGGTTGGAGATTCCCTCAATCAGATGGAGTGACACAGTTACTGCAGCAATGGGCTCAAGTGTTTCAGAGCTGATGAAGACAGCACCGGGTAGGACACGGTTCAACATGTTGTTCATAGGATCACTATGAGTCGCACTTGACTCAAAAACACCTAACAACCACAGCATGTGACTGCAAAATTTCTGTACTTCACTTGAAATGTACATTATCTATGAGAAGAATATAAAAACTGTACTTTCCCTGGACTCTCTAGAGAAATTCCTAAAATAATAATGCAAAGAGGCAGAGATACAAATGCCAATAGATTAAAATGGAAATATAAAAAAAATTAAATATTATAATAAGAGAAAGTAGGGAATGCAACACTAACAACAATAACAAACGAGACTAGAAAGCAGAAAGTAGGCAATCCACAAAACAAAAATCTTCCAGATATAAAGGAAGGACAGAAACATCTGTCTGTTGCTGCCAAATCAGTTCTGACTTATCCTGACCTCACAGGGTTTCCTAGGCTGTAAATCTGTTATGTTAAAGTACAGCTCACTGTAGACTATGCCACCAGAGCCCCTTGGAGGTTGTGGATCTTTCCAGGAGGAGACTGCCAATCTTTCTTCCAAGGATCCCCAGGGAGATTCGAGCTGCCCACCTTTCAAATTGCAGTCTAATATGCCATCAGCACATAATGATCCAGTGGTTGTACTTAATGATCCCTATGGTTACACACTCAGCCGACAACTGTGAGGCCAGATACTTCTTGGGAGAAAGATGTGACAATCTGCTTCCATGGAGATTAAAGATATGGAACTCCTATGGGTCAGTTCTACTCTGTTCTACATGGTCTCTGTGAGTTGGAATTGACTTACTGACAGCACAATAGGATGGTTGTAATTTAAGGATTTAGGAAAAAGATGGGCAAAGCAAACTATAAGAAATGCAATCATAAAGATATCAATTGAAAATGATTAAATAGGGAAAGAGTAAAATAAAACAGCGAGC